ACTCTCATGCAATAATCATCATTCAAACATGCTTTAAATCATATTCTAACATACCTAAACATATAAGGCAAGAAGAAAACACGTTTTCCCAAAACAAAGAGATGGCCAAGACATACACATGCATCAAATATCTTATTACATCAAACAACTTATCCAATACAAAGGCATGCTCATTATAACCATTATCATCATTCAAAATATATAAGAATGAGAAGAAAAATGAACAATACTACTCTGATCTATATGGCGCAGACATGCAGTAAAGATCTACTATGAAAAAAACATTTTTTGACATATCACTAACATGCAAACTCAACCAAGTTTGATGAACATATGAACACATGGAAAATGTCATTTTAGCTTATAAATTCGACATGCAAGGAGCTTTTAGCTATGATACCATTTGAAAGAACAGCATGCATGCATGAATAGTGGTAAATGGAGAAGAAGCATAAAAATGGATTCAAGAAAACGGTTTTAAAACAAAGCTTGGAAAAGAGATTATACCTACTCTTTGCTTTGGATTGATGAAGATTAGCCTCAAAGTAATGAGACCTCCACACTTTAACACCACCTTGAGAGGTTTAGAGTGGTCGTGGCTTTTAGAGAGAGTTTTGGTTTTGCTTTGGTGAACAATGTGTGTTATAACAAAAATGCAACCTTTTGCATTTATATATACTTGGGCAATTTTGCAATATTTATTTTCATCTTTACTTCAAGCCCATAAAATCTTATTTTATAAGGGACCCCATGAATTTATTATGCTACCCTTTGAATAATAAATATATTTCAAGGCCCATGTAAACTAAACTAGTTTACAATGACAACCCATAAGTTACCCTTTTACCCTTTAACTATTAAAAGATATTTTTTGTTCATCTCATTAATCTTAACACTTTAAGATTTAATCTTAACACTTTAAGATATAATAATTAAATATAATTAATTATTGCTTGACCATTTTAATCCTTAAAATGTCACAAATATTTTTCTATGTAACTATTACCACAGAAATCCGTTATTACCCTCGAAGGTGCTAGCCCTCTCGGATAATCATTCTCTCTCTCATCCTTCTCTAACTTCTCAAGGCTATTGGTGTGACCATGTAGGTCCACCGTGGATTAGCCATGAGCCGGTTCTGGATAATCTGGAAACCTGTTCGGAGGCCCAATGACTATGGTAAACATCTAGCAATGTGCCATGTCCTTAAACCCGATGAGAAATACTTCATCGAACCCATTCCAGATCATACGTACCATGCAGGTAAAGTCCCTCCATTGAGATATCCTAATCGAGTATGGATTCATGGAACGTCAAAATCCTAAACTCGATCTTCTACCGATTGTCGATCAGTATGTCTGAAACTTGTCTATACAACTTACTTTTGTATGACTAATAATAGACTCTGCCCAGAGATTCAGTTTTCTGACATTTATCGATGTTCGTCTAGGAACTCGAATCTGGGATGGAGTCAGCGGTACTCCCGATCCTATATTTCCGAGTCAATGGATCCCCTCTTGACCATCGTTCGTTTCCGCATATGAACAACGCATGACCAAATAGGCTTTATTGTACGAAACATGATTAGTCTCGTACTTATACACCGTATGAACCATACGCATCCATATCGGATCCGACTACAATGTCTCAGGTCAAAGGACTACATCGTGCACTGATATAACCAAACGATAAATCATTGACTACATGCTTTTCCAAGTGATTTGTCGTTATTCGGTCACGTTCGAAAAACAGTTCACCAACCGTTAATCCATACCAATGCCCCAGTGACATGACTATCATCGTCATCCGTACTTATATCAACTCATGATATCTTTCGGAAGCATCCGGTATGCCTACTGTGCAATATAGTTGCCCAAATTTATATTGCTTCCGTAGGGAACCCTTTTCGATAATTCATTTACCTATTAAATGAATCATCTGGACAATTCATATACATACTTTATTTTAAATGCATGACTGAATAAAGGAAGCAATTTACATATATGAATTGAAGAACTCTTTCTTCTATTATTTATGATATATATAGATACAAGACAAAATGCTCTGAAACCGACAACACGAATGGTTTCTAGGGCATACACTAATATACACTAACAGGGCGACTAACATCGCCGGAAAAAAGGGAGACATTTCTGCGGCTTGCCCTTGCTCATTTTGCTGAGCCTTTAGCTAATCCAGAGCTCGCTATAACTCCTCAATCTAAGGTAGCGGAGCTACCTGGGGATCACTTTCTGTAACGTGGATTCGACCCTCATGATTGCTATTGAGGAAAGACTGTAGGTTGGATTCCTCCTCGCTTTGGCCGACAGTTCCGGCCAATCTCAACACATGCTAGCCAGAGTCGTGTGATGGTGCTACATGGTCCAAGGAACCTTCTCGACCTCCGCAGTGGTACAAACCAACCCGCGGACGGTGGAAACTTCCTGCATGATGATTAGAGTCGTCATTTTGGTGATAATGGGAATCTCCCCACCTTGCACTTTTGTGGGAGTGCTCGTGCAACGTGGCTTGGGATGACTCAGGTCGTGACATATCACCGAGCCTTAACGCCACAGGTATTCTACCTAGGGCGCGGTCGGTGTTTGCTAGCCCCTCAGAGCCTCTAGGCCCGCTATGCACCACTTGGTTTACCCTTCTTTGGGGCACTGTAGTGCGCACGGCATGGGCTATTGCCCTTTTTCGCACTTTCATGTGACCTGCAGGCTTTTTTGGCGGTGGCACTGCCTCATTCGATTCAGGTGGCACAACACAATCTAACCGGTCTAGCCTTTGGCTAACCATTTGGAGAGTATTGTTGAACCTCTCTAGGTAGCTCATGATGGTTGGGTCAAGCCGTGAGCTTGAAGGGATATCCCTCACGGTATTTTGTGGGACTGAGGGCACCTTGGGAGAAGTGTCCTGTTGTACTTGGGGGATCTCTTCATCACCATGATTGGTTCGCTCAGATTAAAATTGGCAAGCCATTTGCTGTAGTAGGACCAATTAGTCAGAGATTCTCCTGATGAAGAACAAGTACTAAATCAGGCCCTTTTTCTAGCACAAACTATTGATGCTTGATTTTGACACCAACTAACTGCACATGAGAAATGTTGAGCGGACTCAGAAGTCACACGTGAATATGGGGGATTAGATTGAGTAAGGGATGAAGAACAATGTTTAAAGTGGTTCGGATGCTCAAGTAAGCAAATCCTACATCCCCTGATATTGTATTAATGTATTAAGTCAAGTCACATTCAGCGAACTAATTTATAGCTTGGAGAATACAAGGGAATATAAGAGGGAGAGAGAGAGTGAATGCTATTTTAGAGTGAAATTAGCTAATCCCACAAACGGGAGAGGAGCCCTCTATTTATAGTGGGATGAATTAAGGTAATGACTATTGAATCCATAAAAAGGGGGCAGATACCGTGCAAATCCTTCTCTGCGTCCCATTACTCACCTGCTCAAGTGATTTCCTCGATTTATGTAGGGATTAGACACGTGGATCGCTTCCAGCTGCTTGCCACCCTGGCGCACACCTACTACACTAACAGGAGCATGCTGCTCGCATCATTATGCGACGTGGCTGCACCTGAGCGGTTATAGAACTTAAGCTAGTGGTAGGTAGTTTCTTGAAATTTGAATTTATAAAAGCTGTTATTTTGTTTTTAGAAGGTTAAAGCTATTTTCTGGAGGTTACAGTAAATTTCAAAACTTTATATAATACATCTGAGCCTAGGTCGGGCTTCTTTTACATCTCTAATATTGATTTCGTTATTTTTTCAATTTCAAATATTACAGCATGTGAGTAGGGTTGGTAATACTCACACCATTTAACTTATTATATTTTATTTAATGTTGTTAAAGTTTTCTTACAACTTATTAATACTTATAGTAATAAGTAATAGTATAATATACACTCCATTGGCCGTAATTGTACTTTAAAACTAAATTAATGTTAATTTCCATATATAATCAAGTACTTCTAGGTTAATTTAAGCATTCTTTGATATACAATTGATTGATTAGGTAGAATTAATAGGAGAAAAATTTTGCAAATTTTTTGTTGGATTCTTCATTAATTCTAGCAATAGTAAACAGCCGCTTGAATATTTTATCGGTATTGACAAAGAAATGTATGTATTTTCGGCAAAGGATGTGCACAGAAACACAGTTCTTCATGTGGCTGCTGCCAATAGGAACCTCGAGGCAGTAAAGCGCTTGGTGGAATACGATCAAAAGCTCTTTAAGAATGATGAAACTATTGAGTGCCCTGAGGATACTAATGACGAAGGCGAAACCCCGCTGTTTAAAGCTGCTGCATATGGGAGAACAAAATGAAGTTTCTAACTTCAGAGCCATTAGAACAACTGATCGAAGTAAAGAAACTGTAGTTACAGGAACAGGAGAAAGGAAAAAGGTAAAATGTACAAAGCTGAAAGACATTCACTACAAAAAAATAAAGCGTACCAAGAAAAAACTTGAACCTGAACCTTCCAAACCGCCTACACCCCTAGAAGAAAAACCATAGAACTGCAAGGAGCCTCCATCACTGTGCACGTTGCAGCTGAGCGATTGAGCCTTCCAAACCTCCTGCATCCCTTGAAGAAGAAACCATGAAGTGCAGGGAGTCTCCATTCTGCTCGAGGCCATCCTAGGAGAGTATTTTGGTCTCTTTCTCTGCCCATCCAGCTTGTTTACTTTTGCTTTGAATTGAAATATTCAACAGCAATCTAATGTGCTAAGTTCTTTTCAAATTTTCGCTTAGAAACGGCTCTACTGTTACTGAAACTGGATAAATGCTTACCAACATGGGAGGACAAAAATGGCTGGACCAGTCTTCACCTGCTAGCCATTATGCCCTCTGCTTTCAAATGGCAGAGTCTTCGACTTCTGTATGTACTCTCCCAACTTTCTATACTGTTAACATATATTAATAACAATTAGGTAAAAAAGTAATTTCAGAAGAATGAAATAATGGGTCCCCAAACAGGAGACCTTTACAAAGTCAAGATTCTCGGACGGGCCCCAGCAATCTGACAATCAAAATCAAAAAAGGGGGATGGATTTACACAACCCACAAGAGCACTTAACCAAGCCTTAAAGAGGCCTATACAAAATTACCAGCATTACAAAAAATAGCAGGCCAGCTGGACAGACAAAAAAAAAAAAAAAAAGCTGCACAACATGTCAACATGTACCAAAAAATCCAGCCACCAAACGGTTTGCAAAAGCTGTACATAATAGCCCAAACAGCAAAACAACTAGCACAGCCAAAAGTAATGACAGCTGCACCACCCCTGCATATTTACACAACCGACAGCACAACAGCAACGAACAATTAGACTGAACGGGTGTTTGTTTGTTTTAACACTTTTTATAGATTTAAATGTTTTAACAATAGTTTTCTGACATTAGTTTTTTGACAATAGATTTGTGATACAAATTCATGATCATTAATTTATATTAATTCAATAGTTTAAAAATTTTTAATTGACATTAAAAATAATAAACCTAACTTCTCATCAAGTCATTGAATTAAATTGATTCAATAGGTACGAATTTGTGTCACACATTTATATTAAAATGATCATCTCTATATGATTTATTAATCCATGTATTTAAGAATAGTAGTAAAAGTGGTGTTTATTCAAGATTTGGGAAATTAAAAAGTTTCTTAAATAAATAAATTCTAATCACATTTAACATTCTCATATATATAAGTTTATATATATTGTTGAATAAGAGTATTTTACTATTTTAGTTATTTATTCAATTTGTTTGTTAATAATTTTCAAATTTTGTATATAAGTTTATAATTTTCAATATCTGTATATAAGTTATGAAATTTAACTTATTTTATTCAGTGTATTTATCTTAAAAGATGAGATTATAAAAAACAAACAATAAAAAATTCTAAAAGTACTTAAATTAATCGAAAAACTATTAACTGTATATATGCAGATGAATTTATATTTATATTTCTCTATTAACAACTTTTTCTGCTAGTATGAATTTATTTTAGAAAAAATTAATGATGAAAATTAAAAAAAAAAAAAAAAAGAAAAAAAAGGATTTGAATGATTAGATATATCATTAAAACTTTAGTTCGGTGAAAAATTGATCCATGTAATTCTAAATTGAAACTATTTTATTAAAAGGTTATCTTCGTATATTTGTTAATAATACATATTTATTACGAAATAAGAATGTTAGATTAATAGTAATGGTTATATATATATATGTTTTAATTTCTTAGGATGTGTGCCCTTAATACATGCATTTCAAAGGAACATTTTGTTAATAATATTTACATATTTCTTATTAATTCCTAAATTTACAGGCCTTCCAATCAATGATAAGATAGATGATAAAGAGAGAAGTTGTTTTAATCGCTTCAAAGGTAATAGATGAAACTTTACTTTTGTTCTCATTTAATTTCTTAGATATGTGCCTTTAAACATATATGTTAAAAGAGGAACATTTGTTAATGAAATGAACTTTTTATTAATACCTAAACCCTAAAGCCCTCGTTTTAGTGATAGTGTAGATGACAAAGAACTTTGTTGTTTAAATCTCTTTAAAGATAACAGATATGAATTTACTTATTTTTAAATAAGAATTTGACTTTTGTTTCGATTTAATTTACTTTGCTACATTATATGAATCATGTAAATGCGTAAACATGAATAGGGTTGTGCATACCGGGAAAAATCTTTTCATCAACGAGAAAAATCTGCGAAGCAAAGAGAAAGCATAAACTTGCTTTTAGACTTGCCAAGAGCCTAATAAAAGAAAACGATTTGTGGGGTTCAGAACTCATGCAATCAATTTCATCACTTGATGTGCAACCAATTTTATCACCTAATGTTCCAACCCATTTATTTATGGCAACTAAAAGAGGAATAATAGAGATTGTCGAATAGATACTTAAAGTATGTCCCCAATTTGTTAAGTATGAGAATCATCAAAAGCAGAACATATTGCATTTGGCCATTAAGCACTAACAAAAGAAGATATTCGATCATAACGTTAGTTCGAGGGATTGAAGAAAAGGGCTACACCATTTCACACCATGCTGCAAACATGAAGGATGACAATACAAAAGTTCACCCTACAGGACTTGTATACCAACTACAAGAAGAACTAAAGTGGTACAAAGTTGTTATGCTTGGAAAAGTAGGGTTGACGTAGAGTCTTGTCAGCATGGGGTGGTCAGAACTTAAGAAGGTTCCACGATCACTCAAATGCAGCCACGTCGCATGATGACATGAATGGCATACTCCTACCAGTGCAGTGGATGAACGCCAAGTTAGCGAACGGTTGGAAACTGGCTACGTGTCCAATCCCTGCCCAAGTCGAGGAAATCGCTCGAGCAGGTGAGCAGTGGGACACAAAGAAGGATTTGCACAGCATCTACCCCACTCACAGATTTAATAATCATTATCTTGATTCATCGCACTATAAATAGAGGTCTTCCCTCTCATTTGCGGAAAATTGGCTAATTTCACTCTAGAATAACATATACTCTCTCTCTCTCTCTCTCTCTCTCTCTCTCTCTCTCTCTCTCTCTCTCTCTCTCATATTCTTTAAGCTGTAACTTAGCTCGCTGAACGCGACCTGATTTCACTCATTAATATATACAATATCAGTGGACGTAGGATTCGCCTTTGAGCATCCAAACCACTTTAAACATTGTTCTTCATTCTTTACTAGATTAAATACTTCCATAATCATGTGTGACTTCTGAGCCTGCTTAGCATTTCTCACATGCGACTAGTTGGTGTCAAAATCTAGCATCAATAGTTTAGCACTAGAAGGAAGGCCTGATTTAGTACCTGTTCTTCATCAGGAGAATCTCTGATTAATCGGTCCCACTACAGCAAATGGCTTGTGGTTTCGAATCTGAGTAAACCAATTATGGCAATGAAGAAATCCCCCAGGTACAGGAGGACACTTCTCCCGAAGTGCCCCCAACTCAGCAAAATATCATGGGGGATATCCCTTCAAGCTCACGGCTTAATCCAGCCGTCATGAGTTGCCTGGAGGGGTTCAACAATACTCTCTAAATGGTCAACCAAAGGCTAGACTAATTGGATCGGGTCATGCCACCCAAATCAAATGAGGCGATGCCATTGCTGAAAACATTTGTAGGTCATGTGAAAGTGCGGAAAAGGGCAAAAGCCCATACTGCGTGCATTGCAGCGCGTCAAAGAAAGGGAAAGCAAGTTTCGCACAGTGGACCCAAAGGCTCTAAGGGACCAGCAAACACCAATCATATCCCGGGTAAAATACCCATGGCATTGCAACTGGGTGACATGTCGCAGCCTGAGCTATCCCGTGCCATGTCGCACAAACACTCCCATAAAAGTGCAAGACAGGGAGATTCCCATTATCGCCAACGACGACTTTGATCATCATCATGCAAGGGATTCCCATTGTCTGCGGGTCGATTCGTACCACTCGGAGGTTGCGAGGGTTCCTTGAACCACTCAATGCCATCACACGACTCTAACCAACATGTGTCGAGATTGGTCGAAACTGTCGGCCAAGGCGAGGAAGAATCCGACCTATGGTCTTTCCTCAACCATAACCATAAGGGTCGAACCCACATTACGGAAAGTGATCCCCAGATAGCCTTGTTGCCTTAGATTGAGGAGCTACAGCGAGCTCTGAGTCAACTTAAGGCTCAGCAAAATGAGCAAGGGCAGGTCGTAGAGGTGTTTCCCTTTTCTCTGGTAATGTTAGTTGTTCTTCTCCCGTCAAGATTTAGAATGCCCGACATGCAAGCATTTGATGGAAATTCTGATCCGCAGGATCATCTATATGAGTTCAACGACCTCATGGAACTCCATTAAGTCTCTGACTTGGCAAAATGTCATTGCTTGGCTGTAACCCTTACCTCCCATGCCAAGCGATGGTTTAGGTCGCTCCCAGTAGGATCAGTCAAGTCGTAGCCTCAGATGAGCTTGACATTTTTGAGACACTTCCAAGCGAACAGGAAGTTCTCAATACCGCTAAGCTACCTGAGCAACATAAGGTAAGAGAGGGATAAGCCCCTCCAATCTTACATTGACAGGTTCCACAAGGTATCTCACACTTCCAAAGAGTCTGTTTGGACTCTCATTATCTTAGAAGTTTGCCCACAGACAAACTTGTGAAAGGAGCTGTAGTCTGAGGACGATGTGTCCCTCACTCACTTATACAACCTTACGAAAAACTACCTCTATATTGAAAACTTCATGGCTATGTTTAACTGCCATGACCCTTGTCCTTTGGGGCGGTGCTCTTGACTAGGGGGAGAACAAGAGGGCTGATCACAGATGGGCTACTAACGATCAGCGAAAAGGAAAAAAAGCAGTGATATAAACCCAAGAAATCCTATGCCCTAGTTCCTTGTCACGATCATGACAAGAGTCAGTACACCCCTCTGAATGCCTCAGTATTAGCTATTCTGGAGATAGCCGAAAAATTCTCGTGCTATCGCAGTCGCAATAGCCTCTATTGCTACTGAACTGTCTGTGTTCACTTTTATTTCTAGAGCGTTCAAAGAAGAGTAAGATCAGCCATTTATGGCTGAGCATGGTGACCATGCACTACCCAAAACAGAGTGCAAAAAGAGTCCATAACTCTCAGTTTAATCTAAGAGGAAACCCAATGCAGTCTCAGTTTGACTTCCCTTACAATTTTCCAAAATGACGTTCTACTTACTGCTTGGATTCCCTTCATGGCGCCTGGAATTTCTCTCACGCCAAACATAGTATATGACTGCTGTAAAGCAGAGCTTTAGGATCAGGCCAGTAAAGGCCGAATTCTTAGTTTTTACATTTTTTTTTCATTTTAATCCATCGACAAACATCATGAAGGTTGGTTGCAGGTTGATCATATCCATATTTAGAATAGAGCTGAGCCCAAGTTCACCCTGCATGGCTGCACTAAAAATAGAGATGTTCAGCACTTTCATCTTCAAGCATGCACAGGCCACAAAGAGTCACGGTGTTGGGATAAAATCTGCTAACTCGATCTGCTGTAAGAAGCCCAGAGTTGAGGGCCATCCAGGCGATAATACTCTACTTGGGGATATTACTCCATATTCCCTAACTGCCAAACTCCACCACTAAAATCAGTCCCCTACACTAATCGATAACCGGCAAGGGCCATCCTATTATTTTGCCATTGGCCCTCTATGACATGTCTTTGACTCTCGTCTTGAATGGCAAGTTGGAATGTTCACAAAAAGAGTGGGTGGTGGCAAAGTGGCAAGGACTTGGCTACGGAAGGCGAGGACTGCATGGTTTAGACTGAGAAGAAAGTGGCTCAGACGGTCACGATCATGAATCCTCACCCACTATGAGAGAGTGGCTAGTGGCCCCTCTAGGGTTTCCTCCGCCGTATCAAGTTCATTCCAAATGATGGAGAGCCGATTAAAGAATGAAGTCACGGTGGTGTTATGTTGCTTGATCTCGACAAGCTGCTGTCGGAGATGAACATCTTAGCCAGATCGAGCTTCTTGTACATTTCCTGAATGTTTCCCCACATCTCCGCTGCTATCTCAGTCGGAGGAAGGCCAACTGCCACCTTTGGTGACAAGCAATTACTGAGCCACGATCGAACCAGCATGTTGCAGCAGTTCCAATGCCGCTGAAGGTGGGAGTCAAGTGGTGGCTTAGAGTGGGGATCGATGAAGCTGTCTTTGTCTTTTGTGATCGATGCTTAACGAAAATCACGAGCCCAGCTTGCATAATTCTCCAAACCTATTAAGATTTGCTTGATGAGAACCAATCTTGGGTCATCAAAGTTGTGTGCATAGAGCACGTCATCCTGGGATAGGGCAGTTACTACTGTTGCCCATTGTCGATGGCTAGAATGAGGTGAAAGGGAAATGAGTAGGGATTTGGGTTTGAACCTGAACCCGAACCCATTGGAGGTGTAGGACCTGGGTTATAACCCGACATCCCAAATGGGTAGGGATTTGGGTTTAGGCTATATTGTGTGTGTTGGTTTGGGTTGGTGTGACGGGCTATTGTTGCATTTGGGTTTGGCCCATCTGTAGTATTTGGGTTTGGGTTGTCTGTGATGATTGGGCTTGTGTTTGGGCTGTCTGTGATGGTTGGGTTTATCTCCATGTTGAGTATTTGTTTAAAAAAAAAAAAAAAAAAAAAAAAAAAAAAAAAAAAAAAGAAGAATTACAAACCAAGTATTATGTGTGTTTGCAGGGATAGAAAAAAAAAAAAAATGGCTAGCTGGTTTGAGAGAACGGAAGCTGAATTCAGATCAGAGGCTCTGATATCATGTCAAAGTTTGAAGGAGAAGGCAAGAGAAGCAGAGCAACGCTGGTAGAGAATGCTTGAGAAGAGAAAAGAGAAAAGAAAATATTTTCAGTATTGAATTGTTTGTAGCCTGTACAATTACACAATTTATACAATGTTAATTGTTGAAGCCCACAACAACGCCGTCTGAAGGAAAATTAAAGCACTACAACTTTGTTTCTCTTTAAATCCTGATCATCAATTCAAGGGGCATCCAGTGGCTGCAAATGTCCTTGAAGTCAGCACTATAAAAGAGCCCAAAATGATCCTGTTCAACAATTTTTGCAATATCTCTCTTCTCTTCGTCTTTATTCTTTTCACTTGCTAAGGTTCTAGTTAATACTCAAACTGAGTAATCTTTGTACAATCAGTGAGATTGTTCATTGAGGGTTGTGATTCCTTCAAGGATTAGAGGAGCTCGGTAGTCTTTCTCTAGGACAAAGATTATTGTAAAGGGTTGAGTGAATAGTTAGCTACTAAGTGAGCAATTCTTGATGAATGGTTGTTGTACTCTGTAAACATATTTGATAACTTTAGTGCAGCAGATCTCAGTGTTTTGGAGCTTAACGTGGACGTAACTTGTTCAATCTTGAACAAGTGAACCACGGTAAATTTGTATTTTGGTATTCTTGATTGATCTGTGTAATTTGGTAGATTTAGTGTGTGTTTAGACTCTAAGTATAACGTACAATTTGATGAATGTAAATTAGGAATAAGAAACCCTGTAGATCATTCAATCAATCACAGCAATTAGGGTGATTGATTGAAACTTAATTACATATAATTACATAAATAATTTCCTTGATCTTAATAGGCTAAGATCAAGGGAAATCAATAGAAAATCAATAGCATTCCCTTTTATATTTCGTCACTTCTCTTTGTATTACACCTGTAATATTTATTAAAGATTCTTTTATACGAAATTTTATGCCTATTTATATTTTCAATTGTTTTTTAAACTTTGATCTTAGAAGATTATTTTAGTATGTCTAATTTTTTTAAGATTTTATTTATTAATCCAACAATGTTGTTGAAATTGTCTGTAAGTGGCATATTATTAAACGTTAATTGTAGCGTTAGAATCGAGAGAATGCATGATAGGATGGGAAATTAAGGTGTTTTGTAATTGTTTAGATGGGTTTTGCTTTTTAATGAAGTGAGGTGAGCGATGTTAAGTTGGATTGACATGGTTGTTGAAATAGTAATGGGATATGAGATGTGGGATAATGAGGGCATAATAAATCAATTTATGTATGAAAATTTTTATATATACATACTTTATGTATAAAATATAATTTAAGTTATCGAATGATTTTAATGCACATTTACTTGTATGGGTATGGGTGGCTTTGTATATTTAGTGTTATTTATCTATTATTAATAATGTTGATGCTCGTTTCTTGCACCAACAAATTTTTACGTGTATGACTTGGATTGGCTATTCAATACACATAAAAGGGGATATATAAAAATTGAATAAATGCAAAAAGGGGGTTTTTTAAGTGGTTCGGATGCTAAGGTAGCAAATCCTACGTCCACTGATTTATATTGAAATTAGCGGGTGTCAGGTCGCGGTCGTGAGCTGACTTACATCAGACGAAAAAGTCAAAGAAGAGTTTACAAGAGAGAGAGAGAGGTTTCTGTTGTTTTTTGTAAAAATGGCCGAATCCCCTTAATGAAGGAGTCTTCCCTATTTTATACTGAACTGAAGTGTATAATCATTGCTAAATCCGTGGTTTGGTGTGATTGTCAGTGTATAATCAGGCTTTATGTCCCATTTCCCTTTTTCCAAGCTGACATCGCACGACTTGTGGCAGGAGAATGGACGCGTGTGGGCTCCACATCACTTGGCAGAACTGACGTGTGCGTGATGAACTGACGGGAGCAGGTCGCCCTTCACGTGACTCTTCCCACGTCAACCCTTTATTTTCTTAGGCATAACAGAAGCCCCCTAGTTTTTAAGGTTCGAAGGTCGGACCTTGGAAACTAAGTTACGCTGAAGTTTACTCGCCCCGACCTGAACGGGAAGAGCTCGGTACAGAACTTTGGCGAACACGACCTCATGCAGTCCTCAGTCAGAGCGACCTGACAATCTCCACCTTAGCGACCTGGATCTGAGGGGCGCTCCTCTGTACAGGTTCAACGAACCTGGTTTCACGCTGCCAAGCAGTCTGCGCGCGCTAAAGCATGTCAGGCACATTAAATGCTCTGCGTGCTGAGCTGGCACCGTTTGGCAGTGTTATTGGTGCAGCGTAACCGAAACGAGGGCCATTACTGCGTCAGTTAATGCGACGTGGGGCGCATTTAATGCGGAGAGAGAGAGTGTGGGCTGTCGTTTCAGTTCCAAAGGGTGGTAACCGTCGATTCGCAATCCCCATATAAAAACTCACTTTTCTGATGAGGCTACCGAAACTTCTTTCGCTTCAAACAGAAAACCTTCGCACGCCAGAAGCAACTTTCGTCTGATCGGCATTTTTCAGGCAATCGAAACGAATTTCGGCATCAGCCTCACGTCTCAGAGAGTAAGGTTTTCCGTCTTCCTTTTCTCTCTTTTTTTTTTTGTTTGTTGGTGGAATAGTGGCGTTGGGTCTCTCAGCGTTTCACCGGAGACACGACGCCGCCCTTGGATTCGAGCCGTGGACGGCGGCTCGAGTCGTTGATAGATTTTTAGGCGTCCTGTCATCACTCGGGACGAACACAAAGGCCCTAATGACCGTGTCTGTCGATGTTGCAGACTGGAATGGAACCGTCCACATCCAGACCCGAGGAAGGAGCCAGCTCGTCCTCGCGGGAAGTCCCCGAGGACGCAGCCCTCGATGTTTACTCGGTTCTGACTTCCGAGGAGTNCCATAATCAAAAGGTACAACGGCCCGAGCGACCAGACTTAACATAAATGTAGCCACTGGAGCCATTCTAAAAAGGGAGAAATTAGCACTACTCGGTGAAATAGGTTCTTTTAGAATCAATTTCGAACCATCTGCTAGAGGTTGTAACAATCCGAACGATCCCACTACATCAGGACCCTTTCGACGTTGCACAAAAGCCATTACTTTACGTTCAGCTAGCACTAAAAAGGCTACTCCTAGTAGAAGTGGTAGAATTATTCCAAGTATTTCAGCTGGAACAGCTATGTACGTTTTCGATTTTCTATTTACTCATGATCTGGCCTGGTCGACCCAATCATGATATTGAAGGATGGGACCTTTTCTTGAAAAACTCCGGATACCGAGAAGAGTTGAAGATGGTGCAACATTGAATCCTCTTACCTTACTTCGAATGGAATCTTAGCCCGCCTCACTTGCTTTCTTTACTGCATAAGGGCATAAACAAAGTCAAGGGATTGATGAAATTACTCGACTAAAAGGAGAGGTCCAACGTAATTGATTACTCGAATGAAAGGAGAGGAGCGGAGGGATCAAAACTTTATTGGAAGAAATTCATAGTCCAAAGTGTCCGAAGAGGAATAAGAGTAGGTTTCAGCATTTTCGGAGAGTCCAGAGGGTTCAGTGCTCGGAGATGACAAGAAAGGGTTCTCAGTGTTGAGGGCGGGGTATAAGGGAAGTTTCCGGAGAGCTGGGAGTTGGCGAGGGGATATAGTCAGGTGGTAAGTAGTTACCAAATGAATCTAGTTCTTCAGATAGCCTCCAATATTTACTATACTGATTGCGCCTCTCTATATGTATATGAGGGGTAGCCCCCATGTAAATGTAAAAAAAAATTGAGAATGACGCTTGGAAGATGCACAATAATACCCACGTGATGAGTTGTTTGTGATGCGGAGCAAAACTCGAGTTCTAACGCTGTAGACATACGAGAACCATATCTCCAGAGAGAATCAAAAGTATACATGCCCAAGTCAATCATAGAGGAAAACCCAAGAGACTCCCATAGGATTGCTTCTGCTGTTGATAAGAAGGACCCGTCAATGACCGCGGCCGCCGTCGGCACATCAAAGAGGTTCTTAACAACCTGGTAGATGACCGTCCGAGGCCACCTATCAGTAGGAGATTTGAGGTCAAAAGGACCAAAGGTTCCAATGACCGCGAAGCTTTGCTAACGGTTTGACCTGATTGAACGTACCATCGCATTCAAGACTACTCCTTCCATACTCCAGTCGTGAATGGGACGGAGTAGGCGCTCTTTTATATAGTTGTTTCCTATAATAAATACTCTTCCCACCCCCTGACTCTAAGGCTCTGTTCATGCTAGCCCCAAAAGAGTCACTCGTTTTCCACTATCTCTCATCTGCCATCTCAGTGCAGTCCTACAGCTCATAGCCTATCTTACCAATAAGAGGGCTGGCTTTAGCAACTCTTTCTTTCCTTCGCAAGCAGTAGCTTGTAACACTAGGGGGCCCTAAACTTGAAACAAATGGGTCTTGTTTATATCCTAGTTTTCCTTTTCCACTGCATTGGTACCTGTGACCTCAAACCTTACTGGAAGAACTCTATGACTCGCATCCACTTTCCCACTGTAATGGAAAGGAATGCCTACCGCTCAACTCCGTTTCATGCTTGAGGAAAGAAAGATGATAGAAAAGGTTCAATATTAGCGAATTGCCTCTGACTACTCTTCCAAGGCTGGTAGAGCTATCGGATTCCCATTCACTTAGTCAACTTCTTTGATCACCCCTTCTGTGAGCTACATAATCGATTCTCTTTCTGAATGGAAAAGAGATTGGAATCGGTTTCGTTTAGCTTTCATTGTTGAGTGAAAAGGAAAGCATACAATCTTCATGGTGAAGGACCTCTACTGCCTCTACTAGTCCTTATGTATTAAGCACGCCCTTCCTTCTTGCTATGCTATGAAGAATCCCCTGCAGGCTTTGCTTTGGTCTGCGAATGCTACCTCTTCTACTGCCTTCTCAACGGGTAATGAACCAAAGGCAGTGTCTGAACAATCCGAGATTGCCTTCGCCTTTTTCACTACCCCTTTTCAGGCACTTGGTTTAGTAGGTGCCAACTTTCTTTTCTACGAGTAAGCTTCCTAATCCTCATTCCTCAAAAGAAGGTCCTTTCTCCCGGTACTCGTTCTTCAAGCTATCCCGCGCATCCAAGCCTCTTTCTTTGGCACTGTAGTTAGTGACTTATTAACATCCCTCGCTCTGGGTGACCCACCTGGAGAGAAGCCAATAAGAAAGAATGACTTATTTTCACCGCTAACTCTTCGTTCCGAGTCGGCAAGAGCAATCAGAGTTTAGGAAAGCATTCCCATAGGATAGGAGGATTGGTTAGCTCATTAGACCTTTTGATTCTTTTATTATCTTTCTAGTGACTTTGAAAGAAGGGATTTTGTCTAGCTTAGAGTAAGCCGGGAACCAAAAAAGGATTTGAATCCGGAACGAGAAAGGACGACCGAAGGGAACTTACACCGAATCGCGAATCCCGTGCAATTGAGATTTTCTAGTTGAATTCANAAAGCGGGCCAAGAAAGCCTCTCTTTCCATCTTGCCCACCGGTATATCTTCCCAGCTGGTATAAATTTCTCACCTTTCACATTATTTTTAACGCCATTGAATTTGTAAATGCTATATCGACCCTGACACTGAAAATTTAAAAAAAAAAAAAAAAAAAAAAAAAAAAAAAAAAAAAGCACCCTGGATTGCCTTCTTAGAATTAATTTCTGGTAAGTTGTTTGTAGGGAGGCTTGCTATGAGGAATCGGAGATGTTTATTGCTAATTTCAGTACAAGTAGTTTACTGTTTACTCACATGTTAATGAGGCTGGAATTTTTGTGACAAGGTTATTGTGTTAGTTGTTTAGTTGTAGCAGCCCGAAAGTTGCTCCTTATTTGACTCTTGATTTTTTATTTTCTGATGGGGTATGCACTATGCAGGTGTCTTTTGCTGTTGACGGGATTTTGCTCTTAGCTATACTTTCCATCCTCAAAGCGCTTCTTGAGGTATTTAGCTTTGTCATTGCCAATTCCAGACTAGTTCTAATGCCTTCACTGTTTCAAGTAGTACTGTTAGGATTATTTTAGAATTAAAATTATTATGTTAAGTCTTTCTATTAGGATAGAATTAGGATTATCTTATTATTCTTTTATAATTATGATAGAATATCTTATTAAATTTTAATTAGGTAATCAGAGTTCTTTTAGGAGTCATTTGGAGTCAAGTGTAAAGCTATATAATAGTATAAATCTAGATTGTGATTATCAATGAAGAATTTTGTCAATTAATCTCTTAGTCTCTTATCCTTGGGGGTCTCTGTTCCTCATATAAACAAATCTTATCCCAAACCCTATCATTGGTGCTCTCGTTCCCTTTCCATGGCCGACCCTTCTCGCCTACAAGCTTTGAAAGAACTTGTCTCTCAACATGGGGCCAGACTGGACGCTCAAGAGGCCAAACTTGACTCCCTAGAGGGTCTTTTGACGACTATTACACTAAAACTGACTGCCATTGATGCCAGGCTAGAACAAGGACGACAACAAAAAGAGCTCATGGGGTATAGTGATGCGAGTGGCAATGGCACTCTCCCGCCCAACTCAAGTTTGCATTCTTCTAGTTTTGCGCCACCTTTTAAGCCTTTCCGATTAGAGGTGCCCCACTTTGATGGCGTGGATCCACAACTCACGACCTTCTCCCCAGAACCGAAGGTCATTTCTCAAGTGGGCCCCACCAAGCATTCTGCTAATTATGTCGCGGTTGTCGCCGACCACCAGTCTACTGTTGACCTTCCCTTGGTCCCTCTGGGTCATAATAACAACAATCCTCCACTACTACTGCCAGCCTTCACTAAACCTCCCACGCGTTCTGATCTCTCTCTGATGTCACAACCTGGCATCGTGTTGGCCCACGACAAAGGAACAAGCGACTTCTTTACCGTGCTGATTTTTTACCCGGGCAATGGAACTTTCATCGTCTCTTTATTGCCTTGGAACTCATTTGCGCCTATGATTTCTTATGGTGCAATGTCTTGCAACCTTAAGGACAAGGTTGAACCGAAGGGGAAGGCAATGTTAAGATTATTTTAGAATTAGGATAATTATGTTAAGTCTTTTATTATTATCTTTTATAATTATCTTTGATAATTATGATATTATCTTATTAAGATAGAATTAAGATTATCTTATTACCCTTTTATAATTACGATAGAATATCTTATTAGATTTTAATTAGGTAATTAGAGTTTTTTTAAGAGTCATTTGGAGTCAAGTGTAAGACTATACAATAACATAAATCTAGATTGTGATTATCAATGAAGAATTTTGTCAATTAATCTCTTTGTCTCTTATTCTTGGAGGTCTCTCTTCCTTGTATAAACAGATCTTATCCAAAACCCTATCAAGTACACTATTAATATTGTGTATGCTTATGAGAGAATCGTAACTTGATTGCAAAATCCATTTTCGAGCTTGTAGACTTGACAGTGGACACTAGCCCCCCGGGTACAATTATTTGTAAGTTTTCTTTTAGCAGTAAAATTTGGTTCTAACAGGAGGTGTGCCAATGTTTCTACAGGTAGTCTGCACACTTGGAGCCACTGTTTTTGTGGGGATCCTTCTCTTACGTGTTGTCTGGGCAGCCAGTTCCTATCTTCAGTCAAATGGAAGCGGTTTTAACCAGGGTGGAAACTCCTTTCGTGCCATATAGCCAACTAATAACACAGTTCTTATATTAATTAGAGCGCTAGCTCTTCTAGATTTCTTCAGAGTACCACGTGATTGTTCCGAAAAGAACTGAATATGGGATTGTTGATTCAAATTCGTGAGAAGCAATTATAATGTTTGATCAAACTGCATTATAGCTCAGTATTGAATTTATGTTATGACAGAATGTGCGTGAGTATTCTATCCCTGGGAATGTAGATAACTGAAACAGACGAATACTGAGGAATTGCTACAAAAATGGGTCAGCACCTTGTTAACGTTTATGCAAAAATGAAGCAACTCAATTATATTTTATTCATATTCAAAATGACCATGATTATCACATATTGCAAGTTATTACATAAAAATGATCAAAGTACTATTGAAGTTCAAGCATAGTCCATACTAAACACGATACGAAGGAGAACGTAAACATTGTCGACTCCAAGAAAAATTCCAGAAAACATAGCACCAAAATGGCTAATTTATTGATACACCTTCAGCTTCATAACAAACCCAATGTTAAAATTTAATGTAATCATCAGACATTCTGAATATGCAAACATTCTTTTACAAGACAATGATTGTTCTCCGAAATTCTGTTCAGGTATTGGTACAACTTAAAGCCTAGTATGAGATATATGGAGTAAAGAATTCAGGTTCCAACACACAAACAAATGAAGATGTTGAGATATTAACTTTCTTTACTAACTTGAGAAGTCTTTAGACACCAATCATGTGCTCCATGCTTGATGTTGAAACTGGGATTTGAATTCTCTTGATTTAGTATAATGGTGTATAATTTTTAACAGCAACTGAAGGAGGATGCATTGCCATCTAATGTTCTTATTATTAATTGATGAGCAATTTTTTTTTTTTCCTAAGTCATTCTTTCAAAACCACCAACCTGCATGTGCAACCACTCTGGTGATGTACCGCGGTCGAAATCCCTTGAAGCTTGAGAACCAAATGGAATGCCAGCAGTATCAAATGCTTGTTGACCAAACTGAAAAGCCAAATTGGTTTGTTAAAAAAACCATTAGCCATAAGAAATATAATCATCCACAACAAACGTAACTATATGATAAATAAGTGATCAACATAAAAAAATGCTGTACAAAAATTTAGTAGTATCTCATTTAAGTGGAAAAAAACAATGAAAAGATCCTAAAGAATTTCCAAACTAGCAAAAGAATAAGGAAACAAGCTCATCAGATCCATCCGGGTGAAATTCATGTAGAAATGCAAATATATATTTTGTCTTTGCTGCTTTAATCCTTAACGGAAAAAGGGGGAAAAAAAATTAAAGAATAAGATACATATATTCGGTACACAAAACCTTCCCCAGAAACACGATTCATCAAAAAAGTAAACAGTTAGTTAATTATCCCAACTACCGATTGGAAAATGAAACCATTAAATTGAATGCAAGAAGTCGTGTGTATGCAGAGAAGCAGAAATAATAGCAATGGAAGGTGGGTGTAGGAATCTAAATAAGGTTCAAGAGAATAAAATTGTGGTCCCGGTATTTCAACAGACATTATTGCAATCCAAATACAGTTCACCTTGTTAAAACAAGTTATCATGCATAGTTTTTCTTACTAAGAACATAACAAATCTCCCATCTCCTATAATGAATTCATACTGAGATTATTTCTGAAGTATACTTCATTACTTTAATTTAGGACTCTCACAGAAGTCCATCCATCAAATGAGCAGGATGATACAGATGTTAAGAGGTTTGTGGTATGTGTTCTAATATAATATGAACCATCCTTGTAAGGTTAAAAAGGAAGTGCAGTACAAATAGCATGTAAACCAGAACTGGCTCCAACAAGGATTCAAAACATTAGGACTTACATCTTTAGGAGGAAATACCTCAATACCAGGGGTCACTCTCGAATTGACTGCTTCAAGCTTCATTGACAGAAACTGCAATTTCCAGTAAATTGGTTTGGCTCAAGTTCAAAACCAATAGAAAAAATATCCAATCAAAATGTAAAGCCATATTCAGAAGTAAGGATTTCACACCTCAACCTGCCGCTGTAGCGACTGGATGTAATTAATTATCTCATCAAGGACCAATGCTTTGCCAATAACCTGTATTCGAAAAACTTTCTTAAAAAACAGTTGTGTAAACAAACCATGCTACACAGAAACTGCAGAGAAATCTTAACGCTACTAGTTTATGACATATGCTAATGAGTGCCAACTATGTCAGTCTAGTAATCCATTAATCAAGAAGTGAAGATGGGAGTAGAACTATATGCAGTTGATCTAACGCAAAATATAACTGCACAAACTGCGCATACTTGACTACCAAACTTTATGAACAATCAAATGCTTACCTTGTTACAACCAGGGACCAGATCCTGTAGAATTCTCATCCTTTCACTTATCTTTTCTCTTCTAGCCTATCAATCAAATGGTTCAAATAGTGAAAACACATTCAATAGCACTAAAACTTTTTATTCAAACACAAAGTTATGTCATGGGTTTGGAATACAATTGAGTTTAACAGGATTAAGAAAATTACTCTTTCTGCTAGACTATGGCTATCAGTAGCTTGGCCCCTTCTTGCTCGAACGTGGATATAATCTTGTTTAGGTGGCTCTGCTGGTTGACCATTTTGTTCCACAGGCTTGCCTGAACTGGGTTCGGCATTAGTTTTTGAATTCTGATTGTCATCTCTATTTCCAGATGTTTTAATCCGTTTTCCATCAGAATCATTCTGAAACATAAGAATTTGCCATGTAACCATCATAATTTCACTATCAAATTTCTATATACCAACCCTATATAAATACCATAAATCAGAAAATTAGACGAAGTAGAGGCACAAATCAAGTGACTCCGTTGGCCATTCCAGACCAATTCTAATAATCATTTATTTATTATTAAGCTAGCTCAACATTCCCCTGCAGATTCTGTATCAAGTAACAAGATAAAAGAAAATTCCACTTAATAAGAATTTAGATTATAAGAACCAACCATCCAAATTAACATCAAAATAACATTAGAAAATGAATAAACAATCAAACGAACAAATAAATTAATATACCACTCCATTGCCATTGCCACTGCTTGTTGATACAACCTTGGCTGACTCATCCTCTACCTCACACCGCTTCCTTGAACCATTCCCATGAGCTACTTTACGCTCCAAACTCACCGGATCATCACCAGAAATTTCTCGATTAGTCACAAATTGACTTAAATTCTGCCCATACTGAACTCCCCTCAGTCCCAACGCACCTCCAGATTCGTTCGCATTACCACTTCCATGAACCTGAAATGGCCAGATCTCTGCAAAGTTGTACGAACCCTCATTCATCATTGCTGGCGGATCCATCGTTAAAGATTCACACTACCCAAACTACCAACTCAACTTCCCTTCAAAAGGGTCTTAACATTTGTCCACAAAGATTCCAAGTAAAAATACGACCTTTGATTCAAAAGCTTACAACTTGCAAAATACTTGTCACTATTCTTTAAATGGGTAAGTTTGGTTCTAACTTTCGAGTGGCTTTGCAAAGAGAGAAAAGAAAGAACATATTTTTTTTCTTTAATATAAGCTTTAGCAATGGATAGATAAGAGAGCAAGTCTAAAGAAAGAAAGGTGTTTGTGTGATCTCCATAGACAGTGGAGATTGGTGCGCACTGTGTTGGCTTAAACTTCCTTTTTTCTCTTTGCAGTACCACCCAACTTGAAGAGTCTTGCAAGAGAGAGAGAGAGAGAGAGAGAGAGAGAAAGAGAGACAGGGACACCTCGAGAGTTGCAAACTAAGTCACTTCCAGTGAGGTTTTCTCGTGGGGTCCAAACTTATTTACATCTCTGTCACGTGCACATTAACTCCAATTCTTCACCGTAGGATAAGATTACTTTTTGATCAAAAACAAAGCATCAGTCATCAACGGTTGGTGAATAAGATGGAGGGTGGACCACGTAGTCGACAGGGAAGGTGGAGGAGCAGCTCCCGATGGGGTCACCGATCGCGTACCTTAGCTAGCGCAAGTACATGTACAATGTACAACATTGAAAGGTGGGGTTTTTGGTAATTAACTCAAATGTGATTAGTGCTTAGTGATTGCTAATAAAGTTCCAACATAAATAGATTTTCATAATCATTGTTATGATTATGATATCTGGTTTACTTACTTAGTGTAATGAAACCTCAAAGTGGTCTATTTATTGGAAAAGCTATCGATAATGATGCTTTTGTCCATAGTTTTCTGCCTTCTTAATTGGTTCTTAATCTAAGCTTCCATGCAAAATAAAATATTAGCCATGCTTTTTTTTTTTGGTTAATTCGGATGTCCGAACTAATTTGTATATACTTCAATTAATTTTTAAAATCTATTAAACATTTTACAAATTCAAAGTAAATTACAATATTATTGTGATAAATAATCACAAAGATTTAAATCTAAAGATTTAAAGAAGAGAACAAACCTTTTGATCGCTACGTCAATCTTACGAGGATTTAGCCATACATTTTCCATGGTTCAACAATTTATTAGAATAGTCAATGTTGATCCAATCTTTAAAAGGAAACAACTGTAAAATATTACCAAATCTGTAGCATTTATTGAACATAAACTATCCTTGTTGGAATAGTTATACATTATACAACTACACAAGTTTTTCATACAAAAGTCAATTAAAGCCGGTGACAATGACTCTGCTAGAAATATATAAGGTCAAATTCAAACTAAACTATTTGCCAATCAAGATCTAAAGTGGTTCCTACAGTGGAAATTCAATATGAAATCAAGAAAATTGTCCTATTGCATATAACCAAGAAAGTAAAAAAAAATCAAAACCATTATACAAAAACTAAAGTATTACATAACTAGGAAAGAACCTAGAGATACTGTTTGTGATTTGCCATTAAACACCAGAATTGGTAATTCTACATGTCTTTAAAACTGGGAATCAGATGGTGTATCCAGCACGAGATTAAATGCTTGCCAGCAGTGTTCGATATGATTGATGACTTTATATTTTCTCACGTGTATGAAAGGGCTAAGCAGCTAGCTAGAAAGCATATTGATTTTCCTCTTTGCTTATATCACCTTTGAAATTGGTCAGGAATGGATACAGCCGTCTGCATCACTGGCTCCGGCTGCATATTCTAATCAGATAAAACTTTCAGATTATAAATTAATGATATTAATTGGGGTCTTCACTGGTAATTAACAAAACTTGAATTCACACATTCAAACTTTTCTTTTTTCTACAGATATGTGTTCACATCCTTCTCCTCTTAAGAGCACTTCAACCTCCCCTAATGGGGCTGACCTACTTTGGTGCCATTGATAAATGCAAGTAGTCTCTTATCAAAGTGGTTGATGTGAATAGAACAATGATTTCTGCACCGGTGGTGCCAAACCTTGCCATTTCAATATCTTATTTAGTTGGGCAAAGATATAAAACTCCAAAAGAACAGTTTTATCCTTCCTTAAAATGATGTCAGAAAATCCAATCAACAGTGCAGACAATTTATTTCCATCACGTTTTGTTATCAATTTCAAGCTCGTGTTGTGCCTAATCCAAATGGATAAAAATGGTAATAATCGAAGCAAGTGGAGGTTTATTAGCCGTGTGCTTGGTGCCAAATTCCCATTTTAAGATAATGGGTGTGGTTTAGGCATTTGGCAACTTTGATTCTTGTAAAAACCACATGTGGGAAATGCATAACTTGTGGGCGTTTCATTGTAGAAATTTAATTTAACATAACATGTCATGTGCCAAATTTATTGCTATCAATAGTAATAAGTCCAACCTGTCCAGGATTGAAGTTGGGTTGGTTTCAGAATTTTTTTTTTTTTTTTTTGGGTAAGTGAGTTGGTTTCAGAATGTTGCTAGCTATTCTGCAATTGCAGTATTGGTTGCCAGTAAACACAGATGCTTGTGTTGAGAAAATTGTGAGAAAAAAAGATGCCAGTAAGTTGAGCATTGATTGATGGGGTTGCAATTGGTACATTCCACTGGTATTTTTTTTGTGCCTTTTAAGGTACTGTTTGGATAGGTTTTGTAGTAAATGCTCTTCAACAAACGCTTTTTTTTTTTTTTCTAAAAAGCTATTGCTTCTCTAGAACTATCATATAGTTAAATATCAAGTTCAGTTGACCTTAAACCAAAGACTTATGGCAACAGAACGACTAGATCAGCAAATCCATAGGTGAAATAATCTTCTGATTGACACAACAAAGAGCTACCTAATTAACTGTTAATGATCCCCATGAACCCACCGAAAAATAAATCATAATTCAGCTGTAAAAGATTCAATGAGATGATGATTCACAAAAATTATTTGAATGAATGAATGTTAACTGGGTTAACCTGAAGGCCATGCACCTCATGAATGAAGTAAATCAAAATATGATCCAATCAACCACAAAGCATGGTTGCTTTTGATTATAAGCTTTTAAGATCGTAAACTTAAGTTGCTGAGATCTTCAATGATGAACAAGTTAATTAGTTAGGTGTCTCTGACAAAACAACTGTCAAGTTTTACAAGAGCTACCTATCCATTTATGTCAAGTAAATAGTTTAACTTAGGTGGATCGATATGAATGAAGATAGAGGCCATGAAAGAATGAAATGACAACTGGGTAGACAATGCTGCCAACTGCAATGATGAAGAAGAAGATGAAATGGGACAGTAATGGGATGTAAGCTCAGCTGGAGGCAGTTTATAGGCAACCATGACCCACAACCTGACTTATTGGAAGACATAGCCCCATTGAATGGACCCTCAAAAACCCAATTATTTGAAGATTGGGATGTCCTTTTAGAGTCTTATAAATCAGAATTCTGGATACTTCAATTATTATATTGTTGAACCTGATCTATCACCCAGCCTGATTGGAAAATATTGACAGATATACCTTGCTCGACTGGCTGAAATCTAAGGACACTTGATGAATGGAAAAGGTAAACACTAAGATAAGATTTCAGAACAGGACTTCTTAATTATTGCCTTTTTGAACATTAACTTGGAAAAATCTTAAACTGGTTGTTTTATTTAATTAAATTTGATATTTTCATAAGGGCAATGTGGCCTCTTGAATTTGATTGCAGAAATAAATGATATTGGTGTGGTATTGGTATAGTCAGAAGTCATGATTTCTTAATTGAAGAAGAGCCCTGCACTAAATAATAATTAGAAGAATTCCTACCAAATTAATTCTTTCAACATTTTCATTCAAGTGGTTTATTGACTATCCTTTAATTCTCCATTGTTTAACTCAAACTAAACATTATTGGTTACCAGAATTTTAAGCAATTGGTTTCCTCACCAAATGTTCATAAGTGTTGAGTGAAGCTTTAAAACAAATCTGCCTATACGCTGCCGTTTTGAAGAACATTCAAGTATTGATCTCAGCCATTGATTTTAGTCTGGTCTAATGATCCTCGGCAGTCCAGCAAGTCAAACTATAAAACAAGAGAAGATTGACATATTTAAACAGTGCATTTTATATCTCTTTCGCAATAACATTGCTTTGCTAGGGTTCTTCATTTGGGTTTTTTCAAATCTTGTAATCGGGTCACAATCTTTGTAATTGTGGGTAGAAGAATAGGGTTTCTTCGGGGTAGAGAGGCTAGGTTCAAGTTCTCTCTAGGATTTACGATTACGGGTTGATTTGAGGGATTATTGTGAGTGAGAAATTCAGGTATTGAGTGAGTTGGTTTGTAATCTTGTACATTCCTTATCCTTATAGTGCAACGAGCCCCAAATTACTTGGAGCTCAACGTGGATGTAGCTTATTCCATTGGAATAAGTGAACCACGGTAAAAATCTTTATGTTCTTGAATTCTTTCCTATTTGATTCGTGTGTTGTGTGTGTTGGTGTGTTTGATAGTGGAATCAGTTAGGATTGAGTTTGATTTAAACCCAACAGTGGTATCAAAGCTCGAATTAGGGTTTTTTCTGGTCTGTCTTGGTTGTTCTTGAAACCTAGGGTTTATACAAATGGGGGGTGTCTTGATAATCGATCAAATTGGTATCTCAGGGCCTGAGAAACCCTAGATTATCCTGTCAATTTCTTAGAATTGGTCCGAATTCAATCCTAAACTTTTTAGGCTTTCCTGTGTCGACCCTAAATCCAAACACTAATCCTACACTATGACTACTACACGAGTTGAAATCACCCAATTCGATGGGAAAATTAATTTCAATAGTTGGAAGAAAAAGATGAAGGCCTTATTATCACATAATAAGGTAGCTCTTGCTATGGAGAAAGATACAACCAAATGGTCAAAGGAGAAACTGAAAAAGAAAGCAGAGGTGGACGAGGAGGCGTACAACCTGATTATAATAAACATCTGCGACAGTGTCCTGAGAAAGGTAGATGGTTTTGAAACTCCGATTGTTGTCCGGGGTAAGCTCGAATCCCTTTTATGCTTTATAGTTTGCTCCTAACTTGGCTTACTTAAAAGGTGTTCTGTTTTCATATAAAATGGATAGCTCTAAGACTATTAATGAAAACCTTGACAAGTTCTTGAAAATGACCCAAGTGTTGAACGGTATAGATCAAGAACTCGGGGACTCTAGTTTGGCCATGATCTTGCTAAACTCTTTGACTGAAGAGTACCAAGTTGTAAAGAATGCCCTTCAATACACTGGTACTATTCCAAGCTTAGATCTAATAGTCTTAGGATTAAAAGCCAGAGAATTAAAGCTTAAGGTACAAAGAAGAACTAACAATAATCTTTTTGTTAAGGGAAAATGAG